CAGGTTTTTCAATATTGGCATGGCGTGCTACCAAGCGGGCCTCTCTCGCGCGCATGTCGAAACCAGACGAGCGCAATTGCACGCGTGCTGTCACAAGAATATATTGCAGCAGATGGGACGAAGTGCGCACGCGCTCGTCGACGCGCGCGCATGGCGAAATCCTTGAGCATCCGCGATGTTCGTAAGGAATTCAAAAAGGAGCGTCCCGAAAACAAATCAAAACACATGGTTTTGAACATCAGTTTTCAGACAAATCCTGCGCTCGCTGTTTTGCGATCTCTCAAGGAGGCCATATGTTTTCCAACCTGTTCATTATGCCAAACGGGCCTCTCCCGCCATATGCCGAACTCATTCGAACGCCCTTGCGCGCGCGCTGGGGGCGGCACGATCCGTGTCAAATGGTATCACGCGGTCCACTCGCGCGCGTCGGCCGCGTGCGCATGTCGAACTCCTTCAAAGCCTTCATCACCGACGCGAGGGCACCGTCATCGTTATCGGCGGGCGTGATCAACATTGACGCCAGTATTGGCATTGCCGTCATCATCGCCACCATCGTCACCGATATCGCTACCCTCATAATTTTGTCTACCGTTGTCGGCGTCGTCATGATACTGCGCCCGCCCAAGTCCGTAACTCGCACCGAAGTGCCCGTTGAGAAGTACCCAGCGGTCAACGCCACCGCGGCCGTGTCGGCCGCGCCAAACTAGCTGGCCGCTGTGCGCGCGAGCGTGCGCGGGCTAGCGTGGCCACAGAGACGCACCACCCAACGCCAAGCGTTCATCGCAATCGCCGCCGCATGGGTTTCGCAAACCAGGTTGCGAACGGGTGTGCGATTTTTGCAGAGGCATGGAATGTGTCAAATCATTTGTACAAGCCAACCGCACCAAATATATTGCACCACGTAGATTGGACGGCATAGGTCGCACCGTAAAGATTGCACCACATGTGTCGCTCCACATAAATTGCACCACAGGGATTGCATCACATATATTGCGCCACAGGGATTGCACAACGTTGATCGCACAACGTATATCGCACTTCATAGATTGCACCACGTAGTTTGTACGCGTATATTGCACAACATAGACTGCACAGCATCATGGGCTGCTCGAAATTATTGTTTGGGGTCCACGCTGGCTGACATAAAATTGTTTTCTTGGAAATTGCAGTCGTCAACTGTAACGTTCGCGCAAGCATTGCACCGTCCCACCCGTAACTTGTTTGGCAAAACAAGTTCGGCTACGATTCCAGTTGTTAGTTGAGACTTGCTAGCGCACCTCTACGGCCGCACCGGCGCGCGCCCGTTACCGCGCAGATCGGCCAGGTTTGGCACAAATGATGTGGCGGCGATGGCGCTTACCGATGGGAATTCCCCGACGAGTCTTTTAATGGCCGCGCTGGCGTGCGAGTGCTTCAGTGTGGGTCGGCGACCTGAGAGGGCGCGACATCATGATGACGTCGGCCACGGCGGAAACGATGATAATAATAACGATGGTGGTGACGACGATCACGCTGACGACGACAACGTCGATGACGTCACCGATGTTGGTGATGACGATGACGACGGTGATGTCCATATTTCGGTGATAAAGGCGAACGGCGGCGGCATTGGCGGGAATAGGCAATGACGACAATGGTGGTGATGTGATGCGGAAATGTGCGCGCAATTCTATCTATCTATCTATCTATCTATCTATTTATCTATCTATCTATGTATCTATCTATATGAGGGAGCGTGATCCACCGCCGCTTTGCTGTGGAAAATGTCTCCCCTCTTCCTCCGGAGCCCAGCGCCACCCCCCCCATCCGAATACCCCTCCCCCTTCTGCTCGAACGCCTTCCCCCCCCCTCCTCCCCCGACAACCCCCTCCCCTCCACCCAACCCCCTCCCCCCTCTGGAAAACCAGGGGGGCTCACTATCGGTTAGAACCCCCCACCCTCCGAAAACTGGGGGGGGGTCACTACCGGTTCGAATTCCCCCCCACTCGCCGCCAGCAAACGACTCCCAGGTCCCCACCACCGTCCTCCCCACCGCCCTCACCACTGTCTCCACCACCACCGTCCCTATCACTGTCCCTCTGTCCTCACTGTCCCCACCACTGTCCCATTTTCCCCACTGTTCCCACCACTGTCCCCACTGTCCCCACCAGTGCCCCCACCATTGTCGCACTGCTCCCACTGTCCCCACCACTGTCCCCACCACGGTCCCATTGTCCCCACTGTCCCCACCACTGTCCCAATGTCCCCACTGTCCCCACCACCGTCCCACTGTCCTCACTGTCCCCACCGCTGTTGCAGTGTGCTGCTGTCCCACTGTTCCCATCACAGTCCTCACCACCGCCCTCTCCACTGTCCCCACCACCACCGCCCCCACCACTGTCCCACTGTCCCCACTTCCCCGCCACTGTCTCATTGTCCCTACTGTTCCCACCACTGTCCCCACCAGTGCCCCCACCACTGTCCCCACTGTCCCCACCACTGTCCTCACCACGGCCCCACCGTCCCCATTGTCTCCACCACTGTCCCCACCACCATCCCCACTGTCCCCAGCACTGTCCCAGTGTGCTGTTCCAGTGTCCCCACTGTTCCCACCACCGTCCCACTGTCCCCCCCACAGCCCCCACCACCACCGTCCCCACCAGAGTCCCTACTGTCCCCACTGTCCCCACCACTGTCCCACTGTCCCACTGTTCCCACCACTGTCCCCACTGCCCCCACCACTGTCGCATTGTTGCCACCTTCCCCACCACTGTCTCCACAACGGTCCTACTCGCCCCGCTGTGCCCACCCGTGGTCCACTGTTCCCACTGTCCCCATCACTGTCCCTCTGTCCCCACCGCGGTCCCACTGTGGTGTCCCCCTGTTCCCACCACTGTCCCCACTGTCCCCCCCATTGCCCCCCCTGTACCTCTGTCCCGTTGTCCCACCACCGTCCTGCCCACCGCCCTCACCACTGTCCCCACCACCACCGTACCCACCACTGTCCCACTGTACCCACTGTCCCCACCACTGTCCCCTCACCACTGTCCCCTCACCACTGACTCCCCGCTGTCCCCACCACCGTTCCACTGTCCCCACTCTTCCCACCACCGTCCCCACCAGAGCCCCCACCACTGTCACACTGTCCCCATGTCCCCATCACTGTCCCCACCACGGTCCCTCTCTTCCCACTGTTCCAACCACTGTCCCCAACACTGTCCTCCATCCGGAGTGGGGGAGGAGGGAGAGTCGTTTGCCGGCGGCGACGAGGGGAGGGTGGGGGTTGGAGTAGTGACCCTTCCCCCCTTTTCATGATGGACTGGGGAGGGGGGGGGTTGGAACTCCAGTGACCCCCCCCTCGGTTTTCGAGGGGGGGACGGGTTGAAAACCCCCAGTGACCCCCCTTTCGGTTTTCTGCCAGCAGCGGCAAAACACGCTCCTTCATACGTATCGATATATATATATATATATATATAGAGAGAGAGAGAAACTAAAACAGAAAAATAAAGAAATAACGGTAGCAAAATTGTTATTGAGAAGCCGGTGTGTCTTCATATGGTTCTGGATAGTTGTCTTTCGAAATGTTTCGAAAAGTACAGTTGCTTAAGGATTTCGGCACGCGCGCGTGGCGTCGCGCGGACGTGGCACCCATGGTACGATGTGACCAGTTATTTGATAATAGGGTTCATGTACTGGCCGCGCCCTATATCAATGCGAACGCACCGTGATGCGATGAGACTGCAGGTTCTGGGCGAGAATACTGAAATCAAATGTTTGCCCATGATTCTAGCAAATGCGCGCGGGCAGAACATCTGCAACATCACGATTCAAAAGCAGAGCGGTTTCGAATGCTTCTATGTTGAAGCGCTCGAGAGCCAATGCGTTTGGTATGATTCACACATGTGCGCGCAGACGTTGCTGCGTCTTTGTAGAAAATAGGATACACACATAATATCCTTCAATATGAACGAGCACGCGCATTGTATTATTCGATACGGGTGAGAGTGGATCGATGCCGGCGCGGTTGGCATAGTATGACTTCGCACGGTAAACCAATGATGAGGAACAGCCATCTTCGAAGTACGATGCCCCAGTGGAGGGGAGGCGAATCCCAGGCTCGGTCGGGTAGTGGAGTGTGTTCTTCTTATTTAATCGCTTCGCTCATTCCGCCGGCCCTGGAGCGCTATTTGGGGTCTCTTGGGGCCGTCTTGGGGGCTTCTTGGGAGCGTCTTGGGGCTCCTTGGCGGCGTATTGGGCTCCCCTGGGGCCTCTTTGGGGGGCTCTTGGGGGCCCCTTGGGGCGGGAGGGGGGGTAGTCGATTGCAGCCCCCCCTTCGGAGGCCACGATCCTCGTGAGGGGTGGCGAGAAATAGCCTCCCCCTGGGGATCGCCCGGGACCCGGCCGGGGATCAGCCGGGGTATTTTTCGTCTGGGGCCCCCCAGGGGCCGCCCCGCGCGCACGAACTAGAAATATTGTTAAGTAGTTACCGGAGATCTTAGCACGCCTCTGGCCCGTTGGGCCGGCGAGTTACAGGAGAGCTGTAGACGTATACAGCGAGAGCCGTATGAAGGCGGACGTGCGCGGCGTTGAGGCGAGAGCCCCATTTTCATAACGACCAGTCCTCTATCCTTGTACGTGTTGCAAGCGTTTGCGACGAACGCGCTCGGCGCTAAGGTGATAGTCCGCGTTCGAAAGCGACTGGCCTTCCATCACTGAAACGGTTACATGTTTTTGTTGACGAGCGTGCGCGGTCACGCTTAGGCGAAAATTTCACTTTGAAATTTATTGGCCCGCCATCCGTGCGCATGAGGCTGCCAGAAAGTCAAACGAAATACCCGGCCCTGCCTACGGATACGCTTACTGGTGCAACAGACGCGGAACTATTTATGAGGATGAGGGATGGAATGGGACGTGTTTCCTATTGCTGCTCGCTCTGGGGGGTCAAGGGCCCGGTTGTGCGCAGGCGGGCACTTTTAGTAGCCATGTGGTTTAAAAGGCAGGCTGCGGGGTGCACAGCGGCCATGTTTTGCCTGCTAGCGGCCGCAGCCCCGGCAAGGGCGCGCGGGGCAAGCCCGTTCCCCGCTGCTGCTGTGCAGGCCTCGTGCCCGCGCATCGTCTCGCGGCGGCCGCGCGAAGTGGGCCGCGTTCCGCCGCGCCCGGGGCCGCCACCCACCGCCGTGCCCCGCCTTGCTCCCCGATGCCTCGTCGCGGGAGCCCCCGCGCACGCCAGCGCCGCTGTGGCAGCTCTGGTGGCCCTGTCCTGTGCGGGGAAGCGCCTGCGGCTGGGCCGGGCAGCGCAACGGCGACGGGCCGGGCGCGGCGAGGCTGGGCCTCTGGTGTTGGAGGAGTTGAGCGAGCCCGAGGGCCAGGTGCGCCTGTGCTCAGAGCTGCGCGGGCGCTGCTTCGCCATCGTGCGCTGCCCGCGGCAGTTGCGCCGGAAGGCCGCCGCCCTCGATTGGCTGCAGCGGCTGGCGGCCCTCCAGCCAGACGAGCGGCGCGGAGCAGCGTCCGAGCTGCCCGAGGGCCGCGCTTGGCGGCTGGTCGATTCTACCTGGCCGCGGCCGGTCCTGCGGCTGGACGTCGTCCCGTCGAGGGCTGCTTCGGAGGAGGGGGCCAGCGTGGTGGCAGGACTGGCAGCAGACCTCCACGAAGTGGCGGTGCGCTGCCTGTCAGCCGTGGCGGCCGTCGAGGGCATGCCAGAGCTGCTTGGGTTCGTGGCCGACGAGCCCGAGCAGCTCGACGAGGCCAAGGAACCGAGCTTCGTCCGCGCCAACATCTACCCCAACCCAGCGGACCCCTCGAGCGTGGGGCCTGCGCCCAGCAGCACCCTCAGCGACGAGAGGCCAAAGGACACGGGCCCGTGCTGGCACGCGGATGCGGGGCTGCTCACCGTGGCGCCAGTGGCCACGTGGCCAGCGCTGATGGCATCGCCCTTCCACGACACCGGCGGAGTGGGCTTCCTGGAGGAGTCGGCGGTGCGCAATGGGGGGGATAATTGGGGGGATGAAGAAAGGCGCACCTTTCGTGCACCGTAAGGACCCTGAAGGCGCCCTGTGGGCTCAACAGGGGCACGAAAGGTGCCACGTTTCTTCGCCCCCCCTCCTTGACCGCCTCCTATCAGCTGCACCCACAGGAGCTGGCGGACCCGGGGCAGGACGTGTTGGTTTTCCCTGGCACCTCGCTGGCCGTCGCGACCGGAGGCAGGTACGGCGCTCTGGTGCCACGCGGCGTTCCCTGCCTCTCGCTCTCCGTCGCCTCTTCCTCCTCCTCCTCCTCCTCCTCCTCCTCCTCCTCCTCCTCCTCCTCCTCCTCCTCCTCTTCCTATTACTCCTTCTCCGCCTCCTCCTCCTTCTCCTCCTCCTCCTCTTCCTATTCCTCCTCCTCCTTCTCCTCCTCCTCCTTCTCCCCCTCCTCCTTCCGTGGCCATTTTGGCTTAAGGTTTTGCGTTTTCCAGTGAAGCAAGTGGATACCGCTAGTCCGCGGCTAGACTTCCATCCTTCTTGCGGCTGATGGTTCGCCCCAGTGCGCCGCCTGCGTCCCCTTCAACGGGCGAGCAGTCCTTTCGGCCGAGGCCAGGCTGTGCGCTGGTCTTCGGTGCCCCATGGGCCGCAGCGGGACCAAGGGCGGTCATGGCGGCAGCTGTGAGGGAGGGAGGGAGGCACCCGTGTGAGCGGAAAACCGATTCGGGTTAGCTGGCCCGAAGGCGCTTGGCAGTGCACCAACAGCTAAGGCGGGAGCCCAAACTGACACGCACAGAAAATGGAAAGGGCCCAGCCTGCAGATTCGGAGCACACCAAGTCGTTGAGCGGTGGTGCGGCCTCCCCTGAGCACAGGCCCCCCCCCAGAGCATCAGCGCCAGACGAGTCGGATTTGCACCCTGACGCCTTGCTGGGCTCCGGGCGCGTTTCGGCATTGCCAGTGCCGCCGCCGCCCCCTCGTCAGGGCCACCGACTCGGGTGACGGCGACAGCGACAGTGGCGGTGGCCGACGTGTCCAAGCCGAGGCAGCTGTGGCAAAGGCAAAGACAAGAGTGGCATGCACATCAGCGGTTCAGTGCGCCGCTACCTTTGGAATTTCAAGTCCAACCGCTGGTGCCACCATTGCCGCGCGCCGCTCGTGCCCAACCCGTCGGCCGACAAGCTCCTTGGCGGGCATTGGCGGGCGCCAAAGGGCCGCCTGCGTGCGCCGCCACGGGCTGCCAAAGGTGTTTCGCGTGATCGGCGGCCGTGGGTCTACCACAGTGCAGGCTGGTAGCCGCGCGGCGGCGGCGCCGAGGAGGCCCCCCCGACCGCGGCCCCTCCCGACCCTGTCGCTTTCCTCCCCGCAGAGTTGGGCGACGCTGGCGAGCTCGAGGCTCTCCAATTTAAAGCAGTCCAAGTCTGAGCTTGCAGCGCCGCCTCATCGTCGCCCGCCCCTCTTGGAGGAGGAGGTTGCCACTGGGCGGGTTCGCGCGCTGGCGCGCGCGGGCATGGCTCGACACCTGCGCGGCCCGCGCTTAGAAAGAAAGGAGAGCCGCGCCGTCGAGGCTGCGCGCCACAGGCGGCCCGTGTCAAGCAGTTGCCGTCGCCGCCGCTCGAAGAGGAGGCCGGGACATCCGCTCATTCGGCCATCGACCTCTCGACCCTCGTCGACGAGGGCGCACTGCAGATTGTCGGCGCCCCCCCCGTTCAACCTGGAGGGCCTCGAGATCGAGGGCGCCGACGAGGACGAGTGGATTCGCTTCAAGAGCTTCAAGAACGAGCTCGCCGCAGGCGCGCAGCAGACCGCGCTAGAGGCCTCGGGATCATCCAGCTCCCCGAGCAGGGCGAGAAGCTGCGCGCCAGGCTCCAGGCCAAGCGGCGTCGAGGCCCTTCGGGCGAGGTTGCTTCGGGCGACGCGCCTCCCGCAGCGGCCACCCCTGCCTCTGGCAGTGCTGCTGCTGGCCCTGTGGCCGATGGCCGCGGAGCCCCTGTCCGCGACCTCAGCGGGCCTGATGCCTTGCGCGCCGCCGCTCGCGCCAAGGCCATTCGTGCCGCCGAGGCCAGCGCCCTCTATGGGGCCACTGAACCGAGGGATTTGTTTAAACAGCGAGCCTCTCTCACGGGGCCACCTCGGAGCTCGCCTCCTTGAGCTTCGGGGCAAGTCCCCTGCACGCCCCGGGAGAAGTATGGGGTGCGCGGCACTACTTAATCGCAGGGGATTTTGCTAGTCGCACGCGCAGCTCCTTTGTAGGTGTTGACGTAGACCCCTTTTATGCGGATGACCTGACCTGACCTCCTTCTCCTCCCCATCGTCCTCCTCCTTCTGCAATATACACAGCTCCCGTTATTCTGACAGCGCGTAACGCGATGTAGTCTTTCGGAGAGTTCCAGTTCCGCTATGACACCCGTCGCCGGATGCAAGCAAATCAGCACAATGGGAAAGGATGGGTGGGAATCGGCGGGGTGGGATGTTAGATATGGCGCGTGTGCATTTGGGTTGCCATGCGCCCCTCGCCACACTCCCCCACTCCTCGCTCCTGTCTCGGCCCTTGATTAGGTCTCCCAGTCGTCAGTCGCACCTCCTTCGTTGCTCCTCTTCTCCCTCCACGATGAAACTAGTACGTTCCTCATCTTCTATGTTCTTTGTCGCCGCGCCCTTTTCGCCACTTCTCGTCGTCCGTGCTCCCCGCTGTGATGATCATGGCGCCTTCCAACCTGCACCCCACGATCTTCACTGTTTTGCTTGAGCGTCATCCGGCGCGAGAAGCCAAAACACATGGGTATCTGACGAGTGCCAACGTTGGAGTTGCGTGCCCGGGTGTCAGTTCGACCTCGCCGCCCAGCCGGCGTCGGCTCCGTGTTGGGTCTGTTTGCTCGGTGTACGTGTGGGGGGGGACGCTCTCCATCTCCCTCTCTTTTCGTTTTCTTTTTCGCCCTATCCTCTTTTTTCCTTCCCCCATCTGTTGTTCATCCTTTCTCGTCCTCCTGCCCCCCACCCTCCTCCGCACACTTGTCCACCCTTCCTTCCCGGAGCGGAAACGGAGGGGGAAGGGGAGGAGGACGAGGAAGACGAGGACGAGGGGTCACCTTCTCCTCCTCCTCCTCCTCCTCCTCCTGCTGCTCCTGCTGCTGTTGCTCCTCCTCCTCCTCCTCCTCCTCCTCCTCCTCGTCATACGCTTGCCTCCTCCTCCCTCTCCTCCTCCTCCTCCTCCTCCTCCTCCTCCTCCTCCTCCTCCTCCTCCTCCTCCTCCTCCTCCCTCCTCCTCCTCCTCCTCCTCCTCCTCGTCATACGCTTGCCTCCTCCTCCTCCTCGTCATAACGCTTGCCTCCTCCTCCCTCTCCTCCTCCTCCTCCTCCTCCTCCTCCCTCCTCTCCTCCTCCTCCTCCTCCTCCTGCTGCTGCTCCTTTTTTCCTCCTCCGCCTCCTCCCTCTCCGCCACCTCCTCCTCCTCCTCCTCCTCCTCCTCCTCCTCCTCCTCCTCCTCCTCCTCCTCCTCCTCCTTCTCCCCCTTTCCCCGCCCCCCGCGCGCGCACCCAAGCTCGAGATGCGATGCCCTCCCCCGCGCAGGTGCACGGGGTCTCCAACGCTCGACTTGCGCGCGAGGGCCGCGCGCCCAGCCCGCGGGGCGGGGGAGGACTCTGCGGCCAGACCCTGGCCTCCCTGTCCCTTTCTCTGGCCTCCCTCTTCATCGTGTTTCCTTCTCCCTCCTCCTCCTCCTCCTCCTCCTCCTCCTCCTCCTCCTCTTCCTCCTCTCCTTTTTCTCCTCCTCCTCCTCCTCCTCCTCCTCCTCCTCCTTCTCTTCCTCTTCCTCTGCCTCCTCCTTCCCCTCCTCCTCCTCCTTCTCCTCCCTCCTCCTCCTCCTTCCTCCTGCTCCCTTCCCTGCTGCGCCTCCTCCTCGTTGTTCCCCTCCTCCTCCCTCCTCCTCCTCCTCCTCCTCCTCCTCCTCCTCCTCCTCTCTCCTCCTCCTCCTCCTCCTCCTCTTCCTCCTCCTCCTCCTCCTCCTCCTCCTCCTCCTCCTCCTGGGTATGTTGATTCCACACGTCCCCCCGCATGTTGGAGGTCGATGGCAGCGTTTCTCGTAGGTTGCAAACGGATCGTGGAGTCCTGCCTGGATGTTCCCAGAGTATGTATTGGGGTAAAATCTATGTTTATGAGGCTCTTGAGGCCTATCAGTACCAAATGAATGGTGAACTCTCTAGGGTGGTGACCAGGGCGTATGTCGATGACATTGCCCAGAACATGGCTGGCCAGGAGCAGGAGCTCCAGATGCATTTGCTGCCGGCTGCCGTTCGCTTTGCGCACGAGATTGCGCTACTTGGCCTGACGCTGAGCACCAAGAGCCCTCTTGTTTATTTCTCTAAGGCTGTGGGAGCGCAACTTGCGCATAGCCTTCAGGCCGCGGGTCTTCCAATTCGTTTCCAGTCGAACATTCGGGACCTGGGTTCTTGTACGACGGCTGGAAGCAGGCGGAGGGTCCCTGGTATCAAACGGTGGAGGCTTGACGCGCGGCGCCGTGCTGGCAAGGTCGCCATTATGTCCCGTATTGTAGTGGCCTCCGGCCAGTGCCGCCGATCCGGGACGCTCCGGATGCTGCTGATGATGCTGCTGCTGATGTTGATAATGATGATGTTGATGATGATGATGATGATGATGATGATGATGATGATGATGATGATGATGATGATGATGATCATGATCATGATCATGATCATGATCATGATCATGATCATGATCATGGTGATGTGACGATGGTGATGGTGATGGAGATGGTGATGATCCCGGCCCCACCTCCTTTCCTCTCTCCTGTCCCCCTCCCCCTCTCTCCTGTCCCCCCCCTCTCTCCTTTCCCTCCCCCCCCCTCTCTCTCCTGTCCCCCCCCCTCTCTCCTGTACAATTACTCAATATGAATACTACTCTCCGTCTTCCCCTGATGACGGTTTGAAAATATTAGCCCCCCCTCCCCCCGCGTATTGTTTTTTACACACAGGATTCTCCGGAGTTGGGATTTCGCTTGCATTTTTTTACCAAAATGCTGCTTTCGCTGAGGCGCCGGCCTCATTTTCGGACCCCGCTCGTTCCGAATCGTGCTCCCGCTGCAGCGCTGGCCTCATTTCCGTGCTTCCGCTCGTTCCGTATCGTGCTCCCGCTGCTGCCATGGCCTCATTTCCGCACTTCCGCTCGTTCCGACTCGTGCTCCCGCCGCAGCGCTGGCGTCATTTCCCGTGACATGCCACGGCATGCAATGCAATGCTAGGTTGATACTACGCTTTGCGGTGCTCTTCTACGCCATGCCACGTCGTGCTCTACAATGCATCACGTACCCTTTCGGGATCATTGCCCTGCTCGACATCCGACCTGTGCAAGTAGAGAGGGGATCTACGCCATGGTAAGGGATGGGAGGGAGGGGTAAGATGTCAGATATGACGCGAGCGCACCTAGCTTGCCACACCCCCCTCTCCCCACCCTCTCTCCTGTCCCCCCCGTCCCCCCCTCTCTTCTGTCCCCCCCCCCTCTCTCCTGTCCCCCCCCTCTCCTTTCCCCCCCTCCCCACCCTTCTCTCCTGTCCCTCCCCCCTCTCTCTCCTTTCCCCCCCTCCCCCCCTCTCCCCTGTCCCCCCCCCCCCCCCTCCTCTCTCCTGTCCCACCCCCCCTCTATCCTTTCCCCCTTCCGCCCGCCCCCTCTCTCCTGTCCCCCCCCCCCCTCCTCTCTCCTGTCCCCCCCTCCCCTCTCCCCCCCCCTCTCTCCTGTCCCCCCCCCCCTTCTCTCCTGCCCCCCCTCCCCCCCTCTGCGTTCCTCCCCCCCCCTCGCGTGTCAATTCTTTCGTCGTTGGCGTCCCCCCCCCTCCCTTGCAGAGCGAAGCTTGAGCGAGCCCCCCCCCTCTCCTTTCCCCCCCCCCCTCGCGTGTCAATTCTTTCGTCGGTTTTCGTCGTTTGCGTCCCCCCCCACCCCCCCGTCCAGAGTGAAGCTTGAGTGAGCTCAAGCCCACGCTCTCAGAAACTCACACGCCGGATCGGCGGATTTAGCGGAAGGCGTCCATGCTTTTCAAGCCTGGCGTGTTGTCGGCTGGAACCTGGGTCCATCAACCAGTGGGTATATCCCCCCACCCGTTGCAAACAGTGAGGGGCCAAGCGGCCCAGTGTTCTGGGTGGTGGACCCCAGGCTCCTGTTCCACTACGGTTCTGGCGCTGGTGTCGAGTAGCTCGGACGACCTTCTTTGTCGCTTGCGGCACGAGCAGTTGCCCAGCTTTGCCGACCTGCGGCGTGACTTTGGCCCCCGAGACCGTATGCGCGTCAAGAATCTTTGGGTTGCTGCGGTCGATCTCTGCCTGAGCATCCCTGCCAACTGTCGTTGGCGGCGGGTTCGTGGACCTGTGATGGCGACTGTGGCCACCCTTTTTGATTTGGATTGAACCCCCACCTCACCCTGCGAGTGGCAAGATGAATTTGGCTTCTCCTTGGCCGTTGAACGGTTTTACTTCTGGCGGGTCCTCCAGGTTACTCGTTCCCGATGAGCCTTCGAAAAAACTGCGGGGCACTACTTGGGTGCTGGGGTCCATGAAGGTGTTGATTTCTCCGTTCCGAGGCGGCTGTTGAAGCAGCTTGGTCGAAACCTTGATTCTGACCCCCAGGCCATTATTCGTAATACCCTCGCGGGGGGTTCTGGACGGAGACCCCCCCTGTTTGAGGCTGGGTACGCTGCCTGTTCGTTATGTCCCAGGTGCGGACTTCAGTCTGAGACGCCCGTGCACCGTTTCTGGCAGTGCACGGCCAACCACTCCCTGCATGATGATGCCGTCCAGGCCACAGAGTCTCTTGCCCCGTTGCGATCGCGGAGAACTCCCCTCTCCCCTCCCTTTGGTGTCGGGCGCTGATGTCCCTCGATCAGGTCGTGAATGGGCTCCCTGCTCCTCTCTCGTCGGCTTGGGCCTTTGGGGCTCTCCAAGGGGCCCTTCCTGTGACGGGGGGAGTCTGGGGGATCGATGGATCGGGAGGTGGTGAAACTAAGGATTGGAGACAAGAGGTGTGGGTGGAGTGCTGTTATGCTTCATGCCAACGAAGCTGAAGTGGCATGTGGTAAATTTGGGACGTTGCCGCCTCCCTGTCAGAGCTCCCAACGCTCTGAGCTTTTCGCCTTGCTATTGTTGCTCACTTTGACGGAAGGAAATCCTGGCATTCTCTGATTGATTTCCCTTGGTGCGGAGTTGTCGGACAACCCCTGAGCATGTTGTGAGGAGTAAGAGTAGTATGCTGGACCTGTGGGCCCGCGTTTGGGTTCGTCTCGGGACGCGTTCGGGTATGGTTGATCTCCGTTGGACGAAATCACACCCTCTCAGGCACATATCGATGGTATGCAACTCTGGAGAGTGGAGCTCATTTTGAAGAATGCTGCTGGCCAGTGTGCTTGTGAAGGCGCCTGTAGGGGCCAGTTGGGATCGCAGGAAATCAATGCTGTCCGTGACGCGGACGTTGTCCAGGAGAAGATTATTGTTGCGCCTCCTACCTTTTCGTATTCAGCGCGCAGTGTTCCTCACCTGTTACCACGAGGCCCCTTCCCCTAAAGGTCTCGCGCCTGCCCGCAAGAGGTCGGGCATCACCAGTGTTGAGGCGAGGGAGAGGCGGCTGCTGGCCGCCGGTCATGACGCCACTCGTCTCAGCACTGTGTTCAGGTGTTCTCGGTGTACCCGCTCCTTCTCTCGGAAAGGGCCCTTGTCTCATTTCTGGCCAAAGATATGCGTCCCACTGTCAGTGTTTGGCCAGGTGGGCCTCAGGGGAGTGGACTCCCTAGGCGGAGAGGGACGCGCCCGACGAGCCGCCCACGGTGTCCGTGGCGGACGTCCAGGAACGGCGCGCTCCCTCCGAACATCCTCTCTCCTCCTCTGTCCACGAGTCTCACACCCTGGCGACCTGCCAGGGTGTGCTGTATTGCCTCGTCCGTGGGTCCTTCGGCGTTGATCAGGCCCGCAGGCTTTCCACGGGCTGTGTTCAGCCCACTGCTAAAGGGAGGGAGGCTTTGTCCCGATTGTCTCGCGGGCGCCCTCCCAAGTCAAGTATGTGTTTCCCCGTGCGGCGTTGAGTGCTTCATGCTCCCAGGCTTGCTCTTGGTCACCGCATTCAGCGAAATCGCAATCGCAATCGCAATCTCCTCCTCCTCCTCCTCCTCCTCCTCCTCCTCGTCCTCCTCCTTCTCCTCCTCCTCCTCCTCCTCCTCCTCCTCCTCCTCCTCCCCCCCTCCTTCTCCTCCTCCTCCTCCTCCTCCTCCTCATCATCATCATCATCATCATCATCATCATCGTCATCATCATCATCATCATCATCCTCATCCATCATCATCATCATCATCATCATCATCATCATCATCATTCCCCTCTCCTCCTCCTCCTCCTCCTCCTCCTCCTCCTCCTCCTCCTCCTTCCTCCCCTCCTCATGTTTCCCCCCTCTCCTCCTCCTCCTCCTCCTCCTCCTCCTCCTCCTCCTCCACTCCTCCTCCTCCTTCTCCTCCTCCTCCTCCCTCTCCTCCTTCCTCCTTCCCCTCCTCCTCCTCCTCCTCCTCTCCTCCTCCTCCTCCTCCTCCTCCCTCCTCCTGGTCCTCCTCCCTCCTCCCTC